CTGAAACTGCTGCAAGGAGATTTCTTTTCTTTTTTTAATTTTTTGTTGATTTTTCTATTGAAAATCAGATGCATTTATGGAATGTTATAATGTAGTGAAATTGAATATTAATATTTTGGGTTTTGTTTATATAAAATTCAATATCATAAACAATAGATTTATTTAAAAACTATAAAGTAACAATTAATTGTATAACAAATATTAACAATAACAGACAAGTATACAATATACTTATGTATATAAATGTTTGAAACGAAATACTTTTAATATTGCAAAAACAATTTTCTATCTATAAGCTACGTTGTATGTATGTATCTAAACTATATGAGTTTAGATATAGAGTTTACTATTTCATATTGCATTAAAACCATGCTCTGCCAGAAAAGCTACATATAAGCTATTTTGCTATATTGTTTCTTTATTCCATTTATTTGAATGAATTTTGTTAAAATTTCTACGCACTGCTTTTGTTTCATTTTATCTGCATTAAAACATCGAATTTATTCTAGCGAAAAATTAGTACCATCACATATTATCTTCACATTTTTCCTAAAACACCATTAAGGATTATATATGTGAGTGGCTTATGGTCTGAGAGATTTAATAAATATTATGTGTTATGTTTTTGCTGAAATCAACATAAAACAGATGTTTATTTAATGCTTCATTTGAGAGAAGTTTGCATGTGTGCTTATATGAATACGAATTCCACAAATGATTAAAGCTGGCATTAGGATAACGCTTCATTAAGTAGCTTTTAAGGAATAAGGAATATTTATGAACAAAAAATACATATAAAATATAACTTATTTAGATTATTTTTCATATTATTGCAATTACTTAGAAATACTTGCGGATATTATTTGATAAAATCGATTTAATCATTTTGATATTGAATAAGAAACACTTAAGAGACAGCATTTGATTGGTGATTATTTTACCGAGAATTTCTGGGAATATATAATTTAAATATAATGAGATAATGATTTTTTTAAAAATCTCTATTCGAATTACTAGTTCTGTATTTTGGTATGCCCAGAAAGAAATGGGCAGAACCCATAAACTGATTTCACCAATTTCTTCTGGAAGTTACATTCCACTTCATGTTGTTTTATAATATACGTAAAGAAAGTTTGTTTACAATTTTATGTTGCGAACACCTATTTACAACTATTTGACAAAAATTTAAATTATATACGAATCATAAACTAATTAAGAAATTCGAATATTTCCTAAGAGCAATGATGATGAGTACTTGACAATATTCGAAACAGCGTTGAAATTTTTGTCCTTGTCTTTTCTTTGCTATTCAAATTCGTCTAACTTTTAAATAGTTTTTTTTCGCCACAAAGACGTGTCACTTTTGGCAAGTAAAAATTAACATTAAAATATTTTAATTATTAAAGTAATTGCTTAAGGTATTTAGCGCTCACTAAATATGTATTAAAAAAATAAACAGATATTGACTGTTGATATTTTTCAATACAAAACAGGATTTAAAAATTATAGAAATATTGCCAGTCAAGTCGATTTATGAATTACCTTCAAAATATATATTGAACGTTATCTAATATTTTTGGATCAAACTCTATTTTTATCAAATAAAAATATAGCAATAGTGAATAGTGAAAATTGTGCTTCTTAATCATAACTGTATGTTAGCATAATAGGAATGGATTCTGACTTAATTATTTTTTATATACTTAATGCTTAAATTTTAATTTATATTTTCTTTACAAGGAACCTCGTCTTTGATTGCACGCCATGTACTGGATATTCATCGAACTCCTGTCCCCTACAAAAAATTTTATAAAAGTGAAAAAAATTAAGTTCGATAATCTTCCATTCCTGCATAAGAAGAATGACTGTTGCCTTAATATTTTGGGCATATGTGTTCTTTTGTTTTAAATTTATATTTTGGTCATGAGACATAACCCCGTCACAGATACACAATATTTTGGACGGTTTTGGACTCAATCCAATACCAATCAAGTCAATATTAAAGAATAAAAAAAAATTGTGTTCGATAATAGGCTTTCCAGCAGAAAAGATATGTCCTGCCGCCATAACATTTTTAACATATTTATTCTGTTCGATTTAAAAACATATTTTGGATTAGTTGCTTTCTTACATCACGATCAAATAATTATTATATAGTATTGCCTATTACTAATTTAAAATTGTTTGGTTTATCTCAAATAATTCCCTTAAGTATATAACATAATTTATTAAATAAATAAAGAATACTAAATAAAACAAAATAAATTCATATAAATACTTTTCAAACCATATTGTGTGTAAAGCATGTAAAAGAATCTTTTAATTACTGTTGATATACTAAATTAGGAATAATTAAGTGAAGAATAAATTAAAATCACGAAAATCTTAATAAATTATTTCAAAGTAGTTCTGTATAATTCAATTAAAATATTTCAATTAAAAACTAAATTCCGATGCTATTACAAATAAATTTTGGCAACTATAATATACTCATAAAATCATTTATTGTTAAAACATTTTCTTAACATTTTCTCAAAAGCTTGGGTAAATGATTTTGTAATAAACTTACAAATATTTATAGTTTAATTACTTGTTAAAATCAAAACCGACACTTTAAATGTATTGAATATTTTCATTTTTACTTAAAAGCAAAAAACTTTGAAATACTTTAATGCGGCAATAAACCGGGGAACGAGGAACATTTACAAATTCTTAATTAAGAAAAAAAATTATTAAAAGTTACTAGATATTTCTATTTAATTAAATTTTAAAATTACAAGCTTAAAACTAAAATATTATTTTATATTGATATTAGATTAGTTTACGGTGAAGTGACAGTCTTATCGACTAAAGCTCATTTGAGTACGAATAATGACTCTTTGTGAAACCACACATATCACTTTCTGTCAGCACAATAAGGAAGTATCCCTCTAAAGTTTCCATTGACGTACGAACCATTTAGAGCACGTATGACATACGATTTTAGAGAATGATAACCTCATTTACAAGACTTCAAGTGAACATGAATAATGAACGGAATAATAATCATCACACCAGACCTGAAGAACCGGTCTTAAGTTAAATGTTCAAAGGTTTAGACCTACGAATCTCTATTTACGTAAAATGGAACTAATCTTATATGTATCATGAACTTGATTTTATTTCTATTTTGGAGAATAATAGATCCGTCAAATAAGTGAGAAAAAGGTTACAAAGATTTTAAAAATTATTCTAACCAAATACTGTACTGGTACTGGTACATGACGTGGTGTACAGTTTCTTCCATATAAGCAGATTCACAAAAACGACAACAGCTGTCTAACATATTTACATTATTGTGTATAAAATAACTCTTTTATGTGAAATATTTCAAAATATTATTTTAATATTATGTGAAGGCAAAATTCTATATTAATGATATCTGTTCCATAGCAGATCTTTATACAAGTAATACTGGACTAGCAGGAGAACATGAAAATGCTCATTTAAGGATGCATATCATACAAGAAAAGACATACTTACCCATTTTTATGGAGTTCAATTTAAATTAATAAAAGAGGTTCCATCCTTCACTTAGGTAGGCATAACCTAAGACATAATGAAATCATATATATTTTGGAACCTGTTTTATTAATTCAAATTGAACTCTATTTATAAAAATGTGTAAGGATGTCGTTTTTTTCTTGTATGATATGCATAAAATCATATATGTATGAAATCATATATATTTTGTTTTACTTAGTAGTTTACAGATAGAATAATATTATTAAAAGCTGCTTCAAATTTCTATATTAAAGTGAAATCTATTTGCCCCTAATGCAGCTGTCTTTATTTTATATATAGATTGATAGATAATAAACAATGTAATTATGATATTAATAATGTGTAACAATACTGTACAGATGGTAACATTGTCATACAAGTTAGAGGTAGTAAATAAATAAAAAAAGTAGTATCTGGCGATTTACTCTTTATTCTAAACATACGTACGTTTCTATGGAAGAGATACGTATGCTATAAGGTCAGAGAACTCTTCTTATACCAAGTCTTTGAAATGCGTTTTATTTATAATATATGTATTACATTATCTGCATACTAGAAATATTATCTTTCTTATGAACTATAAATAAAGAAATATTTATCATTTTCAAACATAAAAATTATAAATAATTTTGTAAAAAATATAAATGTAAAAAAGTATAATGAATTTAAATATATGTATTAAGATATTTACAGAGGAAGTGTAAGTTTATGAGTAGAACAAAGACCTTTCTTTACTAGTAGCATATGTTAAAATTTAAACTGATGTTTTTAAAAAAATTTTAATTCAATTAAATTTTAATCTTAAATTAAAATTTTTTTACTTAAATTTTTCTTAAAAATTATTTAAGCACGACTTGCTAAATTAGTCAACCTAAAAACGTTGATTTCTTTGTAAATACAAAGGAAGTTTACATTTTTATTTGCTTTAACAGAAATTAATTCTATTAAACAATAAAAGGAAACCTTTATAGCATATAAAACAGTTAGTGAATCGATTTGACAATGATTTTTTTATATGACTGACATTTGAACCGAACTTAATCAATCCACCATGTAACAAATAGGCAATCAACCTGTCCCTGAGTTATGTGCTTAATAAAAGTCAGAATAGTTGACAGCTACTGTCAGTTAGTCAGGCAGCAAATAACTTTGCAATAAAACTGAAATTTGGTACAAAAATTAAATATAAATTTTTATAGTCAACACATAAAAGACCAGCAGCCACACCAGCTGAAATGTTATTCAATGTCCTTTGTGTATTTCACACAAACGCTGTACTCTTACTCTTAAGGCCATTCCAAAGCACTGTCTTATACAGACGAAATACTACGACAATACCAAGTTTCTTTACTTGATTACAAATTTTATGGATTTTATGGCAAAAGGACTAACAAAACTGAACTCAACTCAACTCAAGTCAACGGAATTCAAGCAAATTCAACTGGATTCGACTAAACTCACTCACCTAAGCAACGTTTGATTGTAGCACCACTACTGGTTGAACCACGTTTATAGCCAGCCGATAAGAATGCCGGTGGTGGCGTTATTGGTGGCGCTGGTATGCCTATATCATGTATTGGTGATGTTGCTGCAGAAGTTGTGGCTGAGACTGATTTCACTGTTAGTGGCACTGATGCGTGGGAGGATGTACTCGCTGTTGTTACACTGGTCACATCAGGTGCATCGCGATATAATTCCAAATGATGTTTATCGCAACGACGTCGCCGTCGTATGTTTGGAGCAATGGTTTTCATTTTGGCAACATTTCCGGCACTACTACCGTCTTTGGAATTGATGCGTATATAGTGTACCCGTAAAATAGGTATTTTTCTCTGTAGTTGTTGTTGTTGTAGTTGATGTTGCTGTTGTTGCTGCTGTTGCTGTTGTTGCTGGAAATTTTCCTGTGGTAATTGTTTATGCGGTTGTTTCGGTAACAATTGTGGATATCGTTCGTTTCGATTGTAGTGTAACATTTATGTTACTTTCAAGTTTTGTTTGAGTTAAAATATGTCTTTAATTAAAATTAATTTGCTAAAGTAGGTCTTTTTTTGCTTTAATATTAAACTATAAATTTATACTTTATATATATTCAATTTCTGTATCTTTATATTTATCTTTATATATATATTTATATATAATAATATAGATTTGTATTTTGCACAAAATATAGTTTATAGCTTTTAAATAAATTTTAAATATAATTTTATTTAAAAATAGTAACTCTTTGCTTAATATTTTGGAAGCTTATATTTGCTGCATTTGTATTTATAATTATAGAATTAAATTTTTTTATAATCCTCTTTTATATACTTTTAAGTAACTATTAAATAGACAACGATTAACACAGTAAGCTGTTGATATATTTATAAATCTTTTTAAGTTTTTAATAAGCTTTAGCTTTTCACTTAATTACTATTTTAAATATTTTAATTTTTAAACACTTTCATAAAGTTATATATTATTATTATTTAACGTTATTGATTCTTTAATTGCTTTTTAATTTAATTTTTTAAATTCATTAAATTCATATGCTGTCTTTTAGGTTAAAATTTTTATTTATATTTTATTTTATACCATTTAATGCTGCCTTTTAGGTCAAATTTTTTTATTTTTATTTTATATTTTATATTTTATTTTCTACCTGAAGCGTTGAACTGTCGTAGCACTTGAGTTGCATTTATTTATCCTTTTTGTACAGTATTTAAGCTGATTTCATAAATAGTAACAATAAAATATATATTCTATGCAACAACGAAACATCAATTTCAACTACTGTTTTATATATATGACTGTATATAAATTATATTTTTAATATTTAGCTTTCACTTTTTAATGTAAGTAATTTTCAATTTGAAACAAATGTAGTAACCTTAAAAATTCGTAACTGTAAAAAAAAGATTTTTTTATATAAACAAATTCTTTCAATAAGTATCCTTTTTGCAATCATTTAATTTATATAAAAAATTTATGTCAAAGATGATCGAAATTTAATCGATATATAAATCAAAAATATTAATATTATTATTAGATAAAATTATTTAAAATAAAAAAAGGGTTTATTGTATATACCTATAAAAATAAAATATATAATTTTAATTTAATTTTACTTTTTTAATGAATGTTTTTTTTAAATTGATTTTTGATGTCTGCTTTGACAAAAGAAACTAAATTCTTAATATAAACTATAGTTTTCTATCGAGAGGTATTTTTAAATTAAAATACTATTTTATTATTTTTTCAATTAATAATTAAAAGTTAGAAGAATTTATTTTACCTAATTTCGCTTAAATTAATTTTATTCAGTACTTCATTATTTACTTAATAAATAAAAATAAAAATATTTTATTTTAAAAAAATAAGTGTTTAATTTTCAATATTTAATTTTTAATTTTTGTTAAATTAATTAATATAAAATTGATATTAATTTTTAGTAATTAAATTTTCGTATTACTAATAATAAAAAAACGAATTACCACAATCAAATATAAAAATAAAAATACACAGAAAATTTAATATTCAATTTTTATATAACACTAAACCGTACTACTAATTGTTATATACATTTAATTTAATAATTTAATTTAATTAATTATAAGTAATTTTATTTATGTTGAGTTTATTTAGTTTTCTTATTTCTAAATAAACTAACATTTAAAATTAAAAATCAATTTTAAAATTAATATTTAAAATTAATTAAGTATAAAATTAATACAAATACATATATATAAATTTGGTTTTAACTTAGTAACAAGGAACTGACAATATTTTGTTTAATCATTTTATATATTTTTTTAATTTATATATATAAATTTTTTTTTAATAACATAAAAATATTCAGTAAAAAATAAATTATTTTTTTTTTATTTATTTTAAGTTTTTTATTGAAATATTTTTTATTTTTATTATAATTTCATTGCATTATTTATTATATTGTTTATATTCCATATTTTATAGGTTTTTTTTATATAACAAATTTATGTAAACGTCACTATTGTTTTTCTCAGATTCTTTCTCAGATTTTATATCGATTTGATTTATTTTATTTAATTTATTTAATTTAATTCATTTATTTAATTTAATTAATTTATATTATGTTACATTAATTTATAAATACATAAATATTTATCCTGAGTTATTAATGTATTAATTTTATCATTTTTTTTCTATTTAATAAATGATTTATTTTTTTAAATATAAAACAAATTATAAATTGATTAATTTATTTTGTTTTTTAAATTCTATAAAAACAAGTATAGTAGTTTACACTCCCTGAATCTATCTTATTGTATAGCATATCTCTCTAATTTCTCATATCACTTTTTTTAATAAATAACTATTCAAAGTTTCGAACTGGATAAATAGGGAGCCACTTTAATCTTTATCCACTGAGTTCAAAATTTATTATTAAATAAATAGAAATATATTTAAAATAGTTTTAACAGCGAATGATAAAATAAAATTTTTCTTCTACTTCTATTCCTACAAATGGACTAGATTAGCCGATTAGATTAGATATATGTTAACTAAATAAATTTCCTTTATAATTTTTTTATGCAGAACATAAAGTCATATTTTAGTACTTAATAGTTAACCAGAATTTCAAAATTCCAAAATTAACTTCATTAGTCTTTAAATAAACATTAAGTCTAATGAGTGGCTTTTCAACTAAATATTTGTTTATTTAATTATTGAATATTTCCTTTAGGAAAAATAAACTTTCAACCTCGAAAAGGGAAGTACATTAACAAAACCGCAACTGATAAACCCTCTAATGAAATGCCACTAAATTGGAAAAATTCCTTAATTTCTGAAATTCTAATGATGCATAAATAAACCAAAAATTAAGAATTCATAAAATACTCCTAAAGTCAACTTTACCTGCATAAACACATAAACCCATATACGACAAATAAAAAAGTTCAACCAAAGCAAAATTAAATATTTCCATAACATTGCACAACGACCTCAAGAACCACAAGAATAGAAGAGGAAAATTTGATGGTAAAAAAAGGAAGAAAAAAAATATTTCTGAAGATGGAATAAAATAATAATTCTTAGAAAAAATCACGAGAAAAATATCTGGAAAGTGAAACGGAAGTTGAAATTTTCAAGCAACTTAAATGGTTCAGCACAACCTAACATGAGCATGAAGACAGTTGCGGAAATTGTTGGGGCAGTGCCCATGGCAAGTGCAGATGCCAGTTGTTAGTTAAAGCAGCAGTAGTCGTAGTTCGAGAACCAATGGAAATCGCAACTATAATGGAGGAGTAGAAGAGTGGGAAGTGGAAATAAGTGTAGTCAATATTGCAAGTGTTGGCGGTCGGTAGGAAATTTCAAATATTTATGTGACAGGAAATAAAAAATTACGAATTCAAAATATAAGAGTGCAAAAATGTGGCAGCATAGGTTTAAGTCAACACCCAAAATGTTCTTACCGTTCTGATGTACATGTACGTGATTAAAATTGTTTATGATTAAATAACTTAAAAATAAAATAACAGTATTTTTTTTAAGAAAAAAAAAATATTTTAAAACGTGAAAAAAAAATAATAAAAAATAAGAGCAAAAGGACGAAATTAATTTGTGTGCAGAAAGCGTACAAATTATAATTACAAAAGAATAAAAAAGGAATGTTTGCAAGGAACTGAGGCGTGAGTTAAGCACAGGAAGAACGTGCGCTTATGTACAACGTCGTAGAGCCTGCCATCATACAATGCCTGCCATCATACAATAATATACATAAAACATTAATAGTGTGGCAACACTGTAGGCTGTTGTCTTGGAAAGCATATGAAAATGAACTTCCAAGTACTTTTTTTTCTCGTTTGCTTGCTTGAGTTCATATTGTGTGCATTTGTATACATAAGTCATTTTAAATTAAAAATAAAATATATTAACTAAGACTCAAAGAGAAAAATAAATGAAAACATGACACATAATTTTAAATGCAATTTTTTATAATGTTGCCAACAGATGGTGTCAGTAGCAATTGTTTTAAAAGTACACGTGCACGCCCACGTACACACGTGTAAATAACGCTCGTTTAAAGTTGGTTTATGACTAACGTATTCATTATAAAAAAATTTAAGTCAAAAGCTACCTGAGCTACTTAAATAAATTAATACATATGTTAATATATATATAATAAGGGTTTTTAATATTTTAGTGGGCATATGTGGCAAAAACTGGCTCAAGTTATGTTCAAACATAGTCAGTTGCAGTTTTAAAAATTCTTTAATAATTTATCATACTATAATTTTATGAATAAATTATAATTACGAACTTTAGTAAGTCCTAGGCATAATTTATTAAAGTATTTAGATCGTTAGCTAATACCAGACCCCTCTGATAACACCATGGAGAGTGGCAATAAATAAGTTTTATAAGGCGTTTTAAACATCATTTCATAATTAAATACTTAAATTTAATTATTTTTTCGATCTAAAATCAGGATAGCTGCCGGAAGCTATTGGACGCGGCCAGTAATAACATACGTTTATAATGGCCAAGTAAAGTAAGCAAGTAAGTTCTTAGAAGCCCCAAATATATGGAGCAATCAGGATGCCGAAATGTGGTAGGTAAATGAGTGCATGTGGTAGTCTGTCTTACAGAAAGAAGTTAAAGCGGAGACAGTATGATACTACATTATGCAACGACATGCTAACTGTTTAAAAAACTTAGATACGGACACTTTTATTGTGGACAGAAAAACTACTTAATTCCTGTAATAAATCAAGCAACGACTTTGGAGAGAGATTAAAGAGAGAGAGAGAGAGGGGGAGAGATTTAAGAGAGAGAGAGAGTTAAGAGAGAGAGAGAGAGTTAAGAGAGAGAGAGAGATTTAAAAGAGAGAGAGATATTTAAGAGAGAGAGAATGGAGTAGACTTTCAGTGATTGCCAGACAGACAGACAGAGCAGATAGGCAACAGTTTCCGCATACATAAATAACAACTCTGGATATCTTAATCTAGTGCTGGAGGATCTTCAAATAATGGTGCGCAAGATTAGGGATACAATAAAAATATCAAATAAATGGTATTATAACTAAAAGTACACTGATTTAGAAAAC